TTGCGGTTGGGGTGTAGGTCTTCATGGGGGGAGGAGGTTAACCTCAGCCCTACACTTCTTCAAACCCGAGCTTCCAGCTCCACTCTCTCCCAGTTTGCAGGGCTATGTGTTTTTTGGCTAACGATTCATGATGGTTGAAGCACCATGGGTTTAATATAGTTGCCCGAAGATTGAGACTAGGGTTTCTGGAGAGGGATAAGGCTTCGCGGAGAGGGGCCTTGATAATTGGAATCGGGTCCTTGGGGGTAAAGGTTACTATAGGGACCCTGAGGAAGAGTATTGTCAGATCTTTAGTTCCGCGACAAGGCGAGCAAGACACGTGTAGGTTTCCTGATGTTGTGACGCCCTAGATATCGCTTGAACAAAGTTCTTAGGGTTTAGGGTCCAGGGTGGATGTTCCGTGCTGCATCGTACATAAATATAAATACATAAATAAATAAATAAATAAATATATATATATATATATACACATACATTATTTCTTTGTCTGTATACACATGTATACCGGACATATACACACACATGCACACTTACATTAACATCCCTCAACACCTTACTCCAGGTATTGAGGCCCCCATGTAAAGGTGCATGTCCAGCATTCACAGAAGAAGAGAAAGCCAGCGAAGGCGACCGGCTCCAACTACAGCGGGTGCCAAGACAGCGTCTCGGCAGTTTAGTCCTAGGTAGTATTAGGTAGACCCCTTAAAGCGGACCCTTCTTAACCCTACTTATGGCTCTCTGAAAAAGGGGACCTTGTCGAGAGGGCCTATATCCCCATGAGTTCCCCTAATCCTAAACCCTAACCACACCTAAACCCTAAACCCTATGGCTTAGAGCTTTGAGGTTTATTCGGGTACAGGGTTTAGGCAGTTCTCGAGAAGAGCCTTTGCATTGGCTTTTCTTTTTCACAGGAGCAGCTACATATCTTGATCGTAGTTTTATGTAGTGTTAGGACGAGTGGAAACTATATCCGTTTTTAACCAGAGTAGGCGAAGGAAGGGTTACAATGAATCAGAATGTTCAGTATATGATCATCTTAAGCGGGACAAGAACTTCAAGGGCCCTAAACCCTTGAAGCCCTGAGCCCCGACCCCTAAATCTCTCTAGAACCCTTAAACCCTAAACCCCTCAAGCCCTCATAAACCCCAAACCCCCATTATATAGCTCCAACCCTAAACCCTAAACCCGAAAACCGGACCTGACGCCCTCAAACCTTCCAAAGGTCCCTATAGAACCCTAAACCCTAAACCGGACCTTAGACCCTAAACCACCAAAAAGTCCTTATAATAACCCTACCCTAAACCGGACTTTAGACCCCTAAACCTCCAAAATGTCCTATAGGACCCTTGAGTCCTGGCGCTTTGGCCTCCAGGGACCACCTCGGGACGCTTGTGCTTGGCCTGGAGCGCCCGGCTGACCGAGCTCGAGGACCTTGAGGGATGTAGGGAGACAGGGTTGAGGGTTTAGGGGTTTAGGGGTTTAGGGTTTAGGGGTTTAGGGGTTTAGGGTTTAGGGGTTTAGGGGTTTAGGGGTTTAGGGTGTAGGGTTTAGGGTTTATAGGGAGAGAGAGGCCTCCAAACCCAAATTCAGAGTTGAGGGTTTAGAGTCAAGGGTGTAAAGCAAGGGTTTAGGGTTTAGCGTAAAGGGTATAAAGCAAAGGTTTAGGGTTTCGGGTAGACGTTTGACCCCCAGTTCTCCTAAATCCAACCCGCATAATCCAGGTAAGGTAAGGGTCTGAATACCTAGCAGTACTAACTATCCCTGTAAGTTCCTTCATATAACTATCAGCACAGAAGCCCCCCCAAAACCTCGTATGCAGTCCTGTTTGTGAGCTTTTCTATCGTTTTGCTCCGCAGGACAGGATGGGAAAGGCGCTCAACCAGAGTGAGAGAGACTGGCCTGCAGCTTTGCTGGGCTCTGTTACGGGTTTAGGGGTTTAGGCTTGAGTGTTCCCTAAGCCCAAAGCCCTAAACCCAAAACCCTAAACCCAAAACCCTAAACCCTAAACCCTAAACTAAACCCTAATGAACCCACGGGTTGAAAGAAACTTGCTTGCACCGTTTGGGCGAAAGATCTGGCTCTATGGAGGGTTCAGGGTTTAGGGCCGTTGAGGGTTTAAGGTCTCATAATGAGCAGCCCATGTGACTGAATGTATATATAGACATACGCACGCCCGTACCGCTCTCCTCGCAACTTAAAGCACGTTCATTTACGTTCCTCAACAAGGGCCCAGTGTCGAAGCGGAACATGTAAAGCAACCTTGTCGTTTGTTCGGGCTTGTATTTGTCGTGGTTGTGGCACCCCTTCCCTCTCTCCATGTGCCAGTCTGGCGCCCCTCGCATCCCTTCTGATGCCCCTTTGGAACTCTAGGGACGTACGGTCCTAAACCCCTGCAGCCCTACTCCCAACTGTAGGATCCGACCCTCCCAAGCCTTTTTTGGAAGCCCATAAAGCCTCATCTTTTCGAATCCTTCCAGGGCTCTGGATGAGGCCGAAGCAAGACGCTAAGCTCTTTTACTTAGGGAAAATAGAACACACTCGTGGACCTTCGTGGTTAAGGTATCGACACGCGTACATACATAGGCTAAAGTGTCTTGGGACTGGGGTGCCGGCAATTTCGGTGACCCTAAAGCCCAAACCATACATCAACCCTAAACCCTATATAAGCCCTCAGCCCTATAAACCGTTTATAAACCCTAAACCCTATACAAGCCCTAAGCCTGAACTCTAAACTCCTAAACTCCTCGGGGCAATACCCGTGCTCCTACCAGGAATGGAAGCAGGGATCGAGTCGAGCTTCTGTCGCAATCCCGACAACTCTTCAACCATTTGGTGCCTCGGTCTGGAGGTTTTACAAGGTTCACAAGTGTTGTATAGGTACTTCTCCAAATTAGGGCCCCCAGTATGGTACGGCACCCTTGAAGAGAAGGGATCCGAGTTTAGAGAACTACCCGTACATATCAGTTTATACTGTATCTCCATGTGTTGTTTTCTATGGGAGGGGGGGGGTCTCGTTTCGGAATGACAGCAGAAACGCCGACAACAGCAACAACAACAGCATTTGCAACAACGACAACAGCAAACAACCTCCCTTAAAGACAATCTAGGCCCTACAACCTGAAGCACGATATGGGAGCACAACAAACATCCCGGCGTCGCACTAATGATGTCTGTCTCTGAAGAAGCTCTGCTGTTTTGAATACAAGTTGCCGTTGCGTTCTGCGTGGGTTCAGAAGATTACAGCGGAATCCTTTTCATGAGGACTCCCAAGTAGTAATGTACCACTACTGTCCGGACCCTCCCCCCCATACACCGAAGGCCGGATGCCCAGTGTGGTAGACCCCCGATTAATGGAGCCCTTTCTCTTTACAAGGACTGCAAAATCGCGATCCTAAGAATGGTTCAGGGTTTCGGGCGTTAGGAACTTGGGGTTCGCGCCTTCTGAAGGCAGCGCACCCCCAAACCCCAAACCCTATACTCTCAACCTTCAACCCCAAACAAGACCCCGCTTCCGTGCACACACACACACACACACACAAAAGCAGTCATGCGTTGTCAAGGCTGGAATGTCGTTAGAGGACTCGGTTAGCTGTCCCATTATCCTAAACCCAAAGCCCCTAAACCCAAAGCCTCAAGAGAAAGCGTTCAAAAAGCACCCTAAGCCCTGAAGCAACTGAAGCCGAAAGCCCTAAACCCTAAAGCCTAAACGAGGTGCTACGTTCAGGATGATGAGGTGGCCTGGGAGTATTGCCAACCGAAGGTTGAGCGTGTCTTCGAGACAACCATGAGGCCTTTAAGAAGGGTTCCTTTATAAGGGCTCCTGTATAAGGATTCCTTCAAAGCTTCTACGGGTTCCCTTAAAGGGTTCCCTTAAGGGTTCCTCTATAAGGATTCCTTCAAAGGTTTTTTTACGGGTTCCCTTAAAAGTTCCTTCAAGGGTTCCCGCGGGGGTCACTCACAGAGTTCCCGTAGGGGTTCTGGGAGGCCTCGGTGCCCTAAACGCTAAACCCTAAACCCTAAACCCTAAACCACCACGAGGCAACTTCTCAGGAGGCGCAAGGTCGAGTTCTAAGCGCCCGAAGCCGACGTATCACATCCCATGATAAGAACCCGATGAAAGCTTATGAAAACTGTACCGAAATTTAAATTCGTAGACACTCTAAACCCTGACCCTACACCCCAAGCCCTAAACCCTAAAGCCTTAAACTCTAAACTCCCAAACCCTAAACCCCCAAACCCTAAACCCTAAATCCTGAGCCCTAAAGCTTAAACTCCAGAGCCCTCCGACGAAGGCTGCTGGGCTTGGGCTCGGCCACGATTCGCCTCTCCGGCGATCGCGAGACGTGCAGGGGCCTCCAGGAGCAGCATTTTTTGGGGTTTTAGGGTTTTAGGGCTTTGGGGGTTTAGGGTTTGGGGATTTAGGGGCTTCGGCTTTAGGGGTTTAGGGCTTTGGGGGTTCAGAGTTTGGGGCTTTAGGGGTTGAGGGTTTAGGGGTTTAGGGCTTTGGGGGTTTAGGGTTTGGGGCTTTAGGGGTTGAGGGTTTAGGGGTTTAGGGTTTGGGGTTTGGGGGTTCAGGGTTTGGGGATGAAGGGACTTGTGGTTTAGGGGTTTAGGGATTGGGGCTTTAGGGGTTGAGGGTTTCGGGGTTGAGTGTTTGGGGGTTTAGGGGTTGGAGCAGGGTTCCCCTTACCCCGTAGGGTTGGAGATCTTTTAGAAGCATCTTGTTCTTCTGTTTTTTTTTTGGGGGTGTTCGGGCTGGTGGAAGGAAAATACCGACCTGCTGGATTTAGGGTTTAGGGTTTAGGTTTTTGTAGTTGCTTGCTTTTTTTGATCTTAGGCTTTTGTGGGTTCCTTTTGTAAGCCTGGTTTTAGAAGGTGTTAAGGAGCATTTAAAGGTTCTTATACGGGTTCCATAGGGGTGGCCGTAAGCCCTAATCTAAACCCGACAAGGGTCTTACAAGAGCCTCATCTGCAGGAGTTTGCGGTGCTTCATCCCATGAAAGCGGCTCGGCACAGAGTTAGACCTTTGGGGCTTTAGGGGTTCGGGTTTGGGGCTTTCAGGGAGTTTGGGGTTTTAGAGGGGGTGTTGCCACCAAAATGACCCAACAGCCCGCAGAACTCTCAGCTTGGCCCAGGCAACCTGGGGTACGTGCAGGAGCAGTGCAAGTCGAGACACCTGGCGCATCCTGCCCGTGGCCGCATCACCAGGCGGCGAAGCCGGGGATGTAGGTTTTCGGGCTCCGGGATTTTAGGGTTTAGGGTCTTGATTTGGCTGTCAACGTTACAAGACGGCAGACGTCACTGACTGCAGCAGATGGAGAAAGATCTGACTTGGAAGCCATTGTATCTTGAACCCTAAACCCTACAGTTGTCGACTCCCACAGCTCAGCTGCAGGACGAGTCTTGCTCCAGTTCACTGGCAATGCTCGGCACTTGTGCGCTGGCCAGGCCGAGTTGATTTTTCCGGTCTTAGGAAATAGGGTTTAAGGTTGCCAAACCACCCGAAACCTTATGCCCCTCAACCTCGTTTACTCTTAACCCTAAACCCTATGCACAAGCCCGTCAACCGCAAACCCTGAACCCACACCTGTTATCGAACATTTTCTTGAGAGGTGAAGTGTTAAAAGGACCCGTATAGAACTCGTAAAAGCAGACAGGAACTGCCTTCACGGCAAATCCTAAACCCTTAAATGCCATGTCCTCAACCCAAGAATAAGTCCAGACAAGAAGCCTAAAACCCATGGCGCTTATCAACTTTCCTACAACAACCGCAGAAGCCTCCACCCCGTATGCCCAAACTCCATCACTCTAGAAGCTCAGAATCCGTCAACACTACATCACTATAAAACGGCAGCAGCCTAAGCCCTAAACCCTCGACATTGAATTTCTAAATCTTGAACTCCAAAGGCCTGACACATGCCCTAATGACCCCCATGAAACCACCTATAGAGGCCTTCTAGCATTCCTTTGTAAGCCTCATGGAAAGCCAAAAGCCCATCAACAAGAATCTTACAGAACCCCTAAAACCCTCAACCCTAAACCCTAAACCCTTCTCCGGAAACCCTAAGCCCAAGACTCTAAACACTCAACCCTAAAGCCTAAACCCTTGCACCCTGAACCCTAAACCCTGAACCCTTCTCGGGAATGTAGTGCCCCCGTTTTGCAGCGCTTCTGGAAACCCCGAAGAGCCTCGGTTCCAAACTCTGAGACCTGAAGCGACTCTGAACCCCCAGCCTTCCACTCTTCAACCTTAAAGGTTTAGGGGTTTAGGGGTTTAAAGGGTTAGGGGTTTATGTGGTTTAGGGTTTCAGGGTTGGTCTTAAGCTCTTCACCCTTAAACTTTTTTGGTTGGTTAAGCTCCTGAACCTCAAGTCCTATACTCTTCTATCTTAAAGCCTTGAACCTCAAATTTTTTGCATCTCAAACAGTTAAACCTTCAACGCTTCGCTCCTCAAGCCTTATATCTTAAGTTCTTGCATCTTAAAACCCTTAGGCTCCTAGTGTCTGAAGCCCCTGAACTCCGAGCTCCCTAGACCAGCAAGCCCAGAAGCTCCGTAGGATGGCGGTTAATTTGAAACTTTCGCATCCTCAGCCCTCGAACCCTAGACTTTTACCCTAGACCCTAAATCCTAAACCCTGAACCCTAACCCTAAACCCTGAGCGCTAAACCCTAGACCCAAGACCCGAAACCCTTAAACCCTTAAGCCCTAAACCCTTAAACTCTTAGACCCCTGCGGTCCTAGTTCCTTACACCGGAGGATGGCCAAATGCTCGACTGCTACGAGCACGACCTGAACCAGCTGGTGCTCTGCGGTTCAGGGTTTAGGGTTTTGGGTTTTGGCTGGAGGGTTTAGGGGTTTAGGGGTTTAGGGTTTAGGAGGTGGAGGGTTTAGGAGGGTTTAGTGTGGAGGGTTTAGGGTTTAGTGTGGAGGGGTTTGGGTTTAGGGTTTGTTTTACTACATGGGGTGCCATATAGTATAGGGGCATTAATTAATAATAATTGCAATCGGGTTTGGGGTATACTATGGTTTAGTTATATTACGAATCCAATTACTAAAGCTCATCTTATCTTACAATCCTAACCTCAAAACCCGAAACCCTTAGCGATGAAACAGTAAACCCTAAACACCCGAGCCCTAACAGGTGCCTATGGAATCTCTCCACGAAAGCATCAGCCAATGGACCATGAAGGAGCCTCGGAACTTGTTCTGGCGACCTACTACAGATAAGGGTTGTGTACTGGCCCTGAACCCTAAACCCTAAACCCCAAATCCTAAATCCTAAATCCTAAACCCTAAACCCTAAATCCTAGACCCTAAACACTAACAAGGGGTTCTAGGGAGGGCTTCCAAAAAGTTTTCAGAAGGACTTACCGAACACCGAGGAGCATGGGAACGTGGAGCACCGCTGTGGTATTGAAGACCATTCCACCTGCTATCCTGTTGCTGGGCTTGGCGTTTAGGGTTTAGGTTTAGGGTTTAGGTTTAGGTTTAGGGTTTAGGTCTAGGGTTTAGGGTGTAGGATTTAGGGTTTAGGATTTCCGGCACTTTCGAGCCTTTTTTTTTATGAACCCTAAAATCCCTAAACGTACAGCCCTACCATTCTTCCCTAAACCCTGAAGGCGCTGCGGCCCTAGTCCTGAGAATCCTAGGTCCTCGGCCTAGCCGCAGACGTAAAAGGCATGAGGGTTTGGGGTTTAGGGATTGGGGTCTAGGCTTTAGGGGGTCAGGGTTTAGGGATTGGGGTTTAGGGTTTGGGGTTTAGGGTCGGGGATTGGGGCTTAGGGTTTGGGGTTTGGGGTTTGGGGTTTAGGGTTCACATTCCTCAAAGCATCGACGCCGGAAGCCCTAAACCCCGACCCAAAGCCCTCCTCTGGGTTTAGGGCTGAGGGCAGCCCATACCCTAAGCCGTAAGCCCCAAACCCTAAAC